AAGCTAGTTGGAGTTCAGTTGCAGCCTTGGCTTTCCTGGTCTGCTCCCTACAGGACCGGACCAGTGCAGAATAATCCTCCTTGGAGGTGACTCCCATCCTCCATCCTTTGTAGGCCTTTCTTTTTAACCTCAGGAGGTCTGCCCGGTCCCTGGAGAGCCAAGGGGGCTGCTGTGCCCTCTTGCTGCCTTTCCTCCGAGAGGGAATAGACTTAGTTTGTGCTTTGAGGATCGCTCCCTTGAGGAGCAACCACTCTTCTTGAACTCCCCTCTCTCGTGGTCATGGTCCCTTAGGGCCTCACTGACAAGCCTCCTGAGCTTGTCAAAGTCGGCTTTCCTGAAGTCAAGGACTTCCGTGTTGACTGACTTGCCAGCTTTTCGGCGGATGGTGAAGGTGATCAGCTCATGGCCGCTGTCACCCAGCATCCCATCGATCACTAGGTCGCCAACTAAGTCATCCCCAGTAGCCAGCACCAGGTCGAGCAACGCTTTGCCTCTCGTTGGCCCATAGACTTCTTGAGTCAGGTAGAGGTCATCCACGCACGAGAGGAAGCTTTGCGACCGCTCAGATTTTGCTGAGCGTTCCTCCCATGAGATGTCCGGGTAATTGAAGTCACCCATGACAACCATGGTCCTGGAGCATGCGGCCTCAGCCAGTTCCCAGGCAAACTCCTGGTCAAGCTCAGGACTTTGGGTGGGAGGTCTGTAGTAGACTCCCACCATTGTGTCCCCTGTGCCGTGTTCCCCACGGATCTATTATAGATTAGATCTATTGTAAATATAAACAAGGTGATTTAAATCACTATGGTCAAAACAAATTATGGCAAAAAATTAAACTTAAGGGAGAGAATAAAAAAATAGTATGTAAAAACTCACAGAAGTTTCTAAGTGTAGACCAGATAAATAAAGTATGTATGTGTACAATGTGAAATTTATTCCTAATTATGTAAGTTAAAAAAGGACTGTCTGGATTTTTCCTTATAAAATTATTTACCTATTTATTTATGGCAGGTCACATAGCTGAGTAGTGCGGTATAGATACTGGCAGTCTGGATTTTATTGTACAGGATATTCCTTTCTTTTCCTCTATTTTATATTCACAATCTGTTTATTAATCACACTTTAACATGTTCCCAAGCATTTGTTTCCCCATCACTGAAGTTTCACACCTCATGCCACACTTTGACACATCCAAAATCAGCTAACATCTGGCTTGCTCATTTCTCTTCCAGCTGAAATGATCAATCAGCAGTTTCTCTTACTCCCTCTCTTACTCTCATACCTCTGACCTGCAGGCCACAGATCACATCCTAAGCTCATAATCAGTTGCACAATTGTATTTGCCAAGCCTGGACTGAAAGTTTATTTTAATAAATAGAAATTATGAAATTAACTGCAAGGTTATGTTTCTTTTTACTGCCTCTCCAAGAGTCCTGGGAAAAAAAATACTCTGTAGCAAGCAGAATGAAATCATTGTAGTTATAGCTAGGCTTTCCAGATGCTGTAAAATGCATAATGTGTTTAATCAAGTGTAGAAATAAAATTAATAACCTGACGTGTGAGTTTATAACTTGCTACTTTTTCAAATTTGCCAAATTATACCTCTTTCCAAGTAGTTGGTGATTATACTGAGGAGTTCAGCGGGAGGTACTTACTATATACTAATGTCATAATCACCTGCTGTGTTTTGCAATCCTTTTTTTTTTAAATTAACTAAATATTTTATAAGACAAGTTATACTTGACAATAAGACACAATACATTTTATATTGCCATTGATTTTGTGTATGTATGTGTGTGTGCTTATCTCTCTTTTGAATAAATTCATGGCTTTCAAACACTGTAGGCAAACTGCCCCTCTTTTTTTCTCTTGCTTAATGTCAAACAGTCTTAAAAAGATTCAATAAAATAACTTTCCTAGCTACTGGGTAGATGAAACAAAATTCAAACATATAGATGTGGTAATACTTAGTTGTTTCCTTGATGCTGACCTGGATGTATAGATCTCCCTGGGATCTATACCTAAAGGATGTAATGAACTTTTATAAAAAAAGAATGAGAGTTGCATCAAACATTTTTCTTCTGCTTCTGTTTGTTGACGTTATAGAAATTACTATAACAAATGCACTAATAATGCTACTACCCACAATTTATTTTTAGATTTCAGAATTTCAAGAAAGACACAGAAGAAGGTTATTAGCGTACTACAGAGGAAAGGTCTGATTTCTGAGATTTTGCTTGCTTGTTTTGTTTGTCTTATTGTTTTGGCTTTTATTTAGAAACTGATTTAGGGAAGCTGATTCCTGTTATTAAGGTTGCCTGACCCTTCCAATTATAAGATCTTTTTCTTTCAGTTGTAACTGTATAGGCTGAATTGTTTCATGCTGCACGTCGGCATTACAGTACATTCTTTGGGAAGATTACAGCCAAAATGGGGTAATTCTTTTTGCATTTGTTTTATACAGGTTCATTCTTGAAATTTCTTCTTTGCAAAGTTCTAATGCTTTGGCCACATCTTTTGTTATCAGTGATTCCCCCACCCCCAAGCTGGCATGCAGGCAGCATAGAGGAGGAAGCTGCCTGATCTAAATGCCAGAGAAAAGATAAAAAATTTGAGCCTGGCACTGAAGGATGAGAAGTAGGAAAAAGAGCTAGGATTGGCTGAGCAAGGAGTCTGGGATGGCAGGCATATTGAAAGTGACTGGAACAGAATAGGTACTGCCAGGAGGCAGTTGTATGGGGAAACAATATTGAATGAGGGATTGGGGAAAGGACAGAATCCAGTACTAGGAACAAGTACAGGTGTTGAGGGTAGAGTGCGATGACAAATAGATCTGTCAAAGAGCTAGAGCATTGGGGGAGACTAGAGCTAGCACTACATAGTGGGTGCCAGGATCCACAAGGAGTCTCCCTCCAAGTGATCCTGGGTCATGGGGTGGCTGGAAACCCCTCTGGGTTTCCAGGCTAGGGATCCAGCTAAGTTTCTTCCTGGATCCAACATAGTGGGGTCTATTGCAGCCACAGTGCTCTGCCCTCCCTCTCTGCATGGCTCCACTCCTTCCCTTTTATCTGCCTCTGGGCGCAGGCCTATGACATCACTCCCCAAGCGATGCACAGCTGCAGGGAACAGGTGCTTATAAATCACCGATGTGCTCTCTCTCCCCACTCCACTTCCATTGACTCCAATTGTTATAGTTACCAGCAGCTGTTACTCAATATTAGCACTGGATGGCCAGGTCCAGGCTTATTGAGGGTGATAGAAGTGGGGAAAGAACAGACATGCATGCCTGTGCTCCATGAGGTTGCAGAGAGTGGATTACCCATCTTGGCTTGTCTGCATCTCACTTACAGAGATTTCAACTCTTTGTTCAGCATTGGGATTTTTCCATGCTCAGTCTTTAGAGATTGTTTCTTCTGGTTATCTCAACTTGAGGTCAGTACAGTAAAGTTGGTATCTTTGATGAGGTAATTTTAGTAAAGTTGGTTATTTCAGAGTTGGTATATCAGTTTTGATCTTTGCCTTGAAGTATTGTGCCTTTGAAGAATTGTAGCTGGTATCTCTGCCTTGAAGTATTGTGTAGTTCAAATGGCAGGATGTGCAAAATTCCTTTTTTTAACTATCTTCTTTGCACCTGATCACAGATGAGTTTTTCAGCCATCCATGAATTAGCTTACTGTCTGGTAACTTATACAATGGTGCCTTGTTGCTTACACAATCAGTTAAATCTTCTTCTGTTTTCATGCAAATAGTTACCATTCTTTCACCATTCACCCTCTCACACAGACACTCACATACACAGAGCATAAGAAGTTCATCTATTCATGTCAAGCAGGGAAAAGCACAAAATGGAGTTTTAGTTGTTCATACAATCATAGAGGTTGATTAATTCAATACTATTATTATTTAAACATAATAACTAATATGCAAAAATTCATGCTACACAATGGCAAGTACCAGTCTACTCCAACGGGGAAGGAGCGTGGAGGCCAGATCAAGGCCCTTGTGGTGAGGGAGTGGGGCAGGGGCAGGGATGAATGGGGACCTGGCCAGGCTGGGGTGGGACAGTTGGATCTAGGGCTGCTCGTCCAGTGGCGTGGGGGGGAGGGGTCCCACCACTGTGCACACCCTGGCGGAGGCCCAGGGGGCACATGCCACCTGGTCTGTGTGCTTCTAGTTGGTCCAGGAGCAGTGCAACACCATGTGCCTGCTGCTGCTGGGCTGTGCCACACCCCCCGCCAGCCCCATGGTGGGACACACATGGTGTTGCATGGCTCTTGAGGCAGTGGGGCACAAAGCCAAGCATGCAGTGGCAGCTGTCTCCACCCCTTGCGCAGATCAGGGGGGCATACCCCCAGGGCCTCCACTGTGGTGCACACAGAAGTGGGAGCCTCCGTGCCCCTGGACAATGCCCCGCTTCATTTCCTACCTGACCGCTGGGGCCTCAATCTGCCCCCCTCCCCCTCCCTCCCAGTTTACTTGCTGGGCATGTTATAGTATATTGAAATATGGTATATGGAATATGGTATATATGGTACATAATATACTGACATGGGTATAATATCTAAAAATAAATAACTGAGACATAATCAATAACTTCTTTATAAAATTAGGTGTTTGACAATCACTTTGTATATTAAACTAACTGAACTGTATTACATCTTGGAATATGTTATGCAGATTGCAAAGTTGGAAGAATCTCTAAAGAAGGCAATGCAACAAATACATCCAGCACAATGGTAAGAGGCTTCACATAGCAACAATACTTTGATTACAAAGAGTATTTCCAACTAATTTAAATCTAAAACAGGGGCAGGCAAAGTCTGGTCCATGGGCCAGATCAGACTTGCGGCAAATTCCATTTCTCAGCAGCCTCTGCCCGTGTTGCTGCAGCTGGCTTCCATGGGAGACCAGGGCGCAGGGCAAAGGTTTCCATGGAGACCTGTCCAAATAGTGCTGGCAGGTGTGTTGCTGGGTGAGGAGCTGCTCTGGGGCCAGGGCCAGGGCCAGGATCTTGTGGCAGTGACAGCGCAGACCAGAGCTAGGGCAGAGCTCTGATTCACTGCCTGCACACCTCAGGCAGAGGTGTGCAGCAGCAGATCATGGCCCTGCCCCAGCTCTAAACCACGTTGTCACCACCACAAAATCTCAGCCCTGGTACCAGAGCAGCTCCCCACCCAGCTGCATGCCCTGCCAGAACTTCTTTGGTAAATCTCCATGGAAAACCTGGCCCTATGCTGTCATAGCCCTGCTGCTCCTGGGCTCCCTATGGAAATCAAGTGAAGCAACAGACAAGGGCTGCTGGGTAGTTAAGTCTGACCGCCAGCTGGATCTGCCATTTTGCCTACCCTTGGTCTAAAATTAATGTATAGAGTTTAAATTAATGCAAGAAATTCTACTTTTATTTGTTTTTTTATTCCATGTTCTGTATTTGTGTGTAAATGGACCCAGTATGTTTTTTAGCTTTACCAAAATGTTTTCTGATGTCATGCCAGTTTCCCTTTCACCCATTGTCCTGCCCGTTGATCTTGCGGGATGATAGGCAGTGTGTTCCCTGTTAGCAGAGATATGCCTCCGGCAATTTCCAGGGTTCTCAGAAATTGCTGGGGGCCCATTTCTGTAAGCAGGGAACTCTGACTTTCTCTGCTTCTAGAGAGATGCCCTGGAGAACTTTGCTGGGATATTAGCACATTCTTCTGTCTTAGTTGCAGCAATATGGCATTCAAAGCCAGATGAATCATCATGTATTCTGCTTGCAGATTTGCAGTATATACCACATTATTGCTAAATTGGTTGAAATTAGTGCAAGAAGAGCAGTCTCAGCAATATTTACTAGCCTTAACATGCTGACAGAGTAGTCTTGCATTCATTCAGTCAGCAAACTTTCAGACATGCATTGTGATTTCTTGGGACATGGTATAAATTTGAAAAAAATGAACTTGCAGGATATCTAAACCTGGAACATCCAAACTTTTGTGTCTTTATTCCAATAAAAAACAATTTGTGTGGCATAAGAATGTCATATTATGTGCGTAAGAAAATGAGATTTATTTGGGTGCAGAAGGATACCTTATTAAAATCCCTTTTTCTTTGCATCGAAGTGCATAACATTATTCTAATAACCAGTTGAGACTATACTAAAGCACTGTGCATACATTTGGTAGCTAAAAGCAAGCAAATAATAAATTAAATGGAGTTTCACCTTTGGTCATTACTGCATTAATGAAGGAAAGGAAAGGTGATTTTTTTTCTATAACCACATCTGAACTTGGTCCCAGCAAGTCTATTTATATAATGGTTCTAATCATTAAGAAATAAGTTTTGTTTTAACCTGGATTAGTGACATTTTTCCCCCTTATTAAAAAATATAATTTGGTATAAAGGAAAGTGTTCAGATTATATTATTTTGCAATAATTTCAGGTGAGTTTCTGAAGTGATAGACAGAATATGAATTTGAATATCAGGAGTTTTGAGGTATGCCAAGGAGTTTGATTGCCAGGCAAAAGTCTATTTAGAGAATTTATGTCTCTTTCTCTCTTTGATATAAAAAAAATTTATGTCTCTTTCTCTCTCTGATATAAAAAAAATAGTAAGGCTTAGAAACTTGAAGTTTGATTTGTTATGGAGATCCTGCAGCAAGCTATTGCATTGTTCACTCTCAGAACAAGGTAGAATTTATGGCAAATAATTCAATGGGAAATTTAAAGTTTTTTTGCAAAAAATCTAGTTGATCTAACAAAAGATATCACCTCTACCACAAGTTCCAATTCCTGGGAAATTTAAAGAATTTAAGATCAGATCCCTTTTTATGTTGTTAAGTTAAATGATTAACTGTGAATTACATCAGATCAGTATTAAATTGCCAATACCAATTCCAATTCCAGGGCTTTACTACCCTCCTAGTGAGAAAGTTTTTCCTAATATCTAACCTAAACTTCCCTTGCTCTGACTCGAGACCATTGCTCCTTGTTCTGTCATCTGTCACCACTGAGAAAGGTCTAGCTCCCTCCTCTTTGGAACCACCCTTCAGGTAGTTGAAGGCTGATATTAATCTCTTCTCAGTCTTCTCTTCTCCAGACTAAATAAATGCAGTTCTCTCAGCCTCTCCTCAGAAGTCACATGCCCCACCCCCTCACCATTTTCACTGTCCTCTACAGAACTCTCTCCAATTTGTCAACATCCTTTCTGTAGTGGGGGCCTCAAAACTGAGCACAGTACTCCAGATGTGGCCTCCCCAGTGCTAAATAGAGGGGAATAATCACTTCCCTTGATCTGCTGGCAATGTTCCTACTAATGCAAGCAAGTATGATGTTATCCTTCATCACAAAAAGGGCACACTGTTGGTTCATACTCAGCTTCTTGTTCATTGTAACCCCCAGGTCTTTTTCTGAAGAGCTGCTGCTTAGCTAGCCAACTCCCAGCCCATACCGGTGCATGGGAATATTCCATCCTAAGAAGGACTTTGCACTTCTCCTTACTAAACATCATGAGATTTCTTTTGGTTCAGTCCTCCAATTTGACAAGATCTCTCTGAATCCCAACCCTACCCTCTAGCATATCTACTATTCGCCCCGGGTTGGCATCATCTGAAAACTTGCCAAGGGTCCATGCCATCCCATCTTCCAAGTTGTTGATAAAGATATTTAACAAAACCAGTCCTAGGACCAACCCCTGTTGCTAAGTAGACCCTACCAGCTGCTAACTAGACATTGAGTCATTGGTGTTGGTGGGCTCCTTTTGAGACTAATTACCAGTTTTCTATCCACTCTACAGTCCGTTCACCCAACCCATACTTCCTTAGTTTGCTAGTGAAAATGTTGTTGGAGACCTTGCTAAAATCGAGATGTATCACCTCCGCTGGTGGTCTCTCCATACCCACAGAGCCAGTCATTTAATCACAGAAGACAATCAGGTTGGTCAGTCAGGACTTGTCCTTGTTAAATCCATGCTGACTGTTCCTAATCACCTTCTTCTACAAGTGCTTGGAAAAAGATTCCTTGAGGACCTGCTCTGTAATTTTTTGCAGGAACTGGGGTGAGGCTGATCAGTCTGTAGTACCTTGACTCCTCCTCTTCCACTTTCTTCAAGATGGGCACTATATTTGCTATTTTCCAATCATCCAGGACTTCTCCCAACCACCACAAGTTTTCAAAGGTAATGACCAGTGACTCTGCAGTCACATCAGCCAGCTCCCTTAGCAACCTTTGATGCATTGTGGGAGCCAGGGACTTTTACACATCTAAGCTTCTCTAAAAAGTCCCAGATCTGTTCTTTAACCACTGTTGGCTGCTCACCCTCTCCCTTAACTGTGTTGCCTGGTGCAGTAGTGTGGGAGCTGACCTTGCCTGTGAAGACTGAGGTGGAAAAGGCATTGAATACTTCAGCCTTTTCCGCATCATCTAGGTTGCCTCCCCTATTCAGTAAGGGACCCACACTTTCCCTGATATTCCTCTTGCTGCTGACACATGTGTAGAAACAAATGGTAGTTTACTTATGAGTTGGTGAGTGCTTATACATTTTAGAGCTTCTTAACTGTTCTCTGTTTGCATGGCATCACCCTGGCCTTGTCCAGTCAGGAGTGCCACACTGAAGTCTTTCTCTTATTCTGCCTGAAGAATCCCCTGCTTCCTCTGCCCACTGAGGCCAGAGGGTTTTACATATTTTACCCAGACACAGGCCCCAGCTTTCCATGTGAGAGGGCCATCTTGCCCACATAAAAACACAATATACAGCAACTAAATGTGTGTGTGGGTGCTACACACATATGATATTATTTATAGCTAAGTATATGTATTTCTTTGTCTTATGGGGAACTGAAGTATTATAATAAGAACTATAGATAGGTAACTATAGATAGGTAACTGAATTTTGATAATTAGAAACTATTTAATTAAGCAAACTTTTTTGTTTACTCTATATTCTGTCTTCCTTTTTATTTTGAATTTAGTATCAGACCTCAACAAACTGCTAGACCATCAGTGTCCGCTCCAGGTAGAAATCCAGTTGCTAGTAAGAGAAATACTGTTTTAAAATATTAAATATAAAATGCAAAATCACTGATAGTAACAGTGCTCTTACCTTTGGTTTATTAATTACTTTAGTTTCTTCAGCAAAACAGAATGCATTTTCTTCATACTCTCTTCATCTCAATCACCCATCAACCTCTGAAATGTAGGTATAGATCCATTAATTTTCAGTATAAATTTTAAGACTGGTAAAAGATTTGCAATTATCACTTATCCAATGTCTTTTAAATTTACACATACCTATTTCTTAAGCTGAATGTGTATCCTTTTGGTGGTGAATCCAAATATCAATAACAATGCATTTTCTAATTTTGACATCTAGTTTCCCCTCTATATTAAAATAAAGGAGAAGAAATTAGACCCTTTGCAGTGATCAGTGCATTCATTCTGTGATTCCAACTAAGCAGTAAATATTACTATTTTCCTGGAATAAGCCTCAATTCAGTAGTGTCTTAAAGCACATACCTAACATTAAATGCAAAAATAATTCTGTTAATCTCAGTAGGAAAATACATTTAAAGTAAAGCACATGCCTAAATATTACTGAATCAAGGTCATAATTCTTACCTGTTTCCCATCAGTGGGATTGCACAGAATAGAATTTGGCCCTTGGTTACTATTTACTATTTCAATGTCTGAATCACTGAATCTCTCCGAATCTCTCTGAATCGAATCAGAGGCTTTCAAATATGTGGGGAGCCGGAGGAAAATCAAGGGCAACATTGGACCCCTGCTG